ATCTGAAGTGATAAGAGCTGAAATTATTGTTCTAACCAGTCAAGGTTGACTTTGGCTGACCAGTATGAATATCAGTACTGGGCTGAAACACAGAGACACGGTCATTTTCCGTTTGCAGAGCAGTCAGACTATATACGTGTTTGGCACAACGCCAGGCAGAGAGGAGGGGAAAAGGAGAAGCAGAGGGTGAGAGAGAGACCTTCCTTTACAAAAAAGAGTTTTGAGTATTTATTTGTAAGTGTGCATGTGCCAGAATGTGACTGTGCACAAGAGAGAGAGGGGTCATGGAGCGTGGGTAGAGGGCTGGCATTGTGCCCAATGGTTGAGTCACTTATTTATTGGTGGGGGAAGAGCTTGACACAAAGTTCACAGGGTAAATGGGAAACTGCTTTTTTTGCCTGACAGAAAATAATTTTAAAAATGCATTACATGTGAATTAAAAGTGGAGTCAGTAATTTTTTTCTCGTTAAAACCTTTTATCCATACAGAATGAATGGTACTTTTGATAAATATGTTCATTAAAACAGTTCATGAGATGAACACTCCACAATCAGTAGACTAATAAACTTGGTAATCCCTTCACTTGTGGAATTCATTTATCATGTCTGACTAAACAAGTCACATCTATAAATTACTGAAGTGTAATTTTTTACGTTAAATGTTTCTTCAACACAACCACACAATTCACTCACACTTATATACTGTAATTTCAAACCTGTATGACATTTTATAAATGAAGACATGTTGTGGGATAAAAGCTCTTTTCCTTCAATCATATTGAATATGCTTCAAATTATGTTTAAAAAGATCAAAAGCACTATAAAAGTATAATAAAAGTAGACCATACATTTAGGCCTAGTTGTCCTTGAGAAGTCCAATCTTTTCACTGAATATAGCTCACAAATCCAACTTGAATAATTATTTTACAAATTTGACTGATTTGGTTCTCGAGTTCAATTCAATGACTTTCAGCAGCTCACTAGAGGGAAGGATTATCAGTGAGTATAGTCAGTCTGTTCTTCACAAATAGCTATCATATGCTTTCAGAAGATATATAGAATATGTGATTATAGCATGCAAATTGTATTGACCACCTTAAATTTTACCTTTATGGAGTAAAAATAACAGGATTTCTATTACTGAGTGAACTATTCCTCCAATTTCTTCTTTTAATTACATACATAATGTTTTAATTAGACAATGAATCACGTCCATAGAACATTAACGTCTGTAACTCCCACATCCAGACACATTAGTATTAACTACAGCGATCCCAATATGGCCCAGTACATGGATTGAGTACATGAAATGACAGACGTTCTATGTTCATAATTATAACTTAAACATCCTTTCAAATATGAATCTTCTCTGAATAGTCCTTCTTCTTTGACATTTTGGTAAGAAAGTTTCAGACTTCATATGTAATCAAATTCTTATCAATTATGAACCAGTTCTGTTTTAGGGAAACCATCATCCAGCCCAGATCTAGCTCATTCCACATTTACTGAACGGCACAAATGGGTTTCTAGCCAGACGTTCAGGAACACAGTAATAGCTTATCATTAGCGGCCTGCCAAAAAGTTTTCAAAGAGAGCTTGGGGTGCTCTGTGAGATCAGACTCAGACCTACTTTACTGGAACTACAAGCAAAACACATTACAGAAATGAAAATGAAGATTAAAGCATGGCTGCGTGAAGGCTGGAAGGAGCATGTCGGCCTAAAAGAACAGCGCAGCAGAATGCAAAATTTAACAGCTCCCCTAATTATGATGTTGCCCTCGGAAACACTGGAGTGGATGAAAGGTGACAGGTGCAGAGACTGTTTTCACAAGACTATTTCCACCGGGCTCCTGCAGTGACAGGCTTGGTGAGGGAAAAACTCACAAACACAATCACATGCAAATTCTTCAAAAGCAAATGCTTTCTTTAGTTGCACACACACTAAAATCATATATGCACATAAGACACACATCTAGAATACATATGAGCTATGTTACCAGAATCTAGTGAATTGCCTCACAGTCTGCTGTTCACACAGACTACCTTCTAAAAGGGTTTGCACACCGGACGAGAAAGGCTGTGCCACGTCGTGTTGCGGCTAGACCAACTCACAGGTATTGCACACCAGACATGGTCCAAGGTGGCAGTTCAAAACGGTGAATCTAATCACCAAAAAGGCAAAAGTTGGCACTAAAGAATTTGAAGTTTGGTGTTTGCAAAAACAAAGCAAACATAAAGAGAAAGGGCAAGATAAACCTTTGGTGAAAAATGCACAAAACACAATCTTACAGGCTAGGGTGAAGTCATCATGCACATCAACAGTGTTTTGGGACAAATATAATGTAATTTAATGGAAAACTATGTACGTGGCGCTCTGTGGTGTGGCAGGATTTTGAAAAGCTTTCTTATGCCGAGTTCACACTGCACGATTTTAGCCCCATTTTTCACTCGCCGACAGGTTTTGCAAAATCGTCGACAAATGTCCCAAATCGGAGGCAAATCGGTGCTCGTTCACGCGAGTGACAATCACGCAGTGTGAATTATCAAAGACGCGATCTGAGGGAATCGCCGACACGTCGATTCACAATCACGCTGTGTGAAATGAGTTCTGACTGAAAAACACATCGGCCATGACCTACAGCCAATGAGAGACCAAAATACAGGGCAGCGGGAAGTTCGGGGAGGAGTTATATTAAAGTAGTTTGCGGACCAGTGTTGCCAAATCCGCGATTGCCGCCGGTTGTTTTTTATGTCAGCAGGTTGAAGCGACCCCAATAACGTGATATTTAGGCCCTGGAATGTGAATTGTACCAGGAGAACCCCGCCAAAAAAATGTGTATTTTA